CTTGAGTTTATAAAGGTAGAGTCTCAATAAATGTTCTTTTGGCCTATCTAGTCTTCAGAGCACTTAGTTGGAGAAAGAGAAATATGGTGCAGTTATTGCTTATATCTGAGGTTCTGAAAACAGGAATAGAGATGAATACATGTATAAGAAATACATTTGGTGAGAGAACTGATTTCTGCTTGTAAAATTTTTCATGTTTATTGAATAACAAGTTTTTCAAAAGGCTTTTTCCCTCTTTTCTTCCTGTGACATTTCAGAAAGTTTGGAAATGCTGTTTGCAGTTTATTCTGGAAATGGTCTACTTAATCTCAGTGAGTCAAAAATCTAGACCCAGCACGACTTTCCTATGACTGTTTGGCTTAAATGGTCACTTTGTATGCATCCCAGCAATATCTGCTCTCAGGATCAGTGCTGAGTTAGCAGATTTTTGTTCCAAGCCACTTTCATTTTTAATTCCTTTGTCATCTCTGTTAATATCTCAGGATGTTTGCCAAAATGGAATAACCACATAGGCACTATGTTATTCATTGGGCTGCATTGCAGAGCGCTTAAAAAACCCAAAGTGCTACACAGCTTTTGAGAAATATCTGTTCCTGTGAACATCACCAAACTTGTTCTCTCTGACAGATAGACACTACGTACGTGTGTAAGCACTTAGGATCCATCTCAGGTCTTCCTCCCCTTGACGGATTGCTGCAAGTGCAATAAATAGAGACACCGAAGCCTAAATCCTTCTGACCAGTGGAACGTCACTAAGCCCAGGGGTCACCAACTCAGATGTCTCAAACTAACTTCACAAAAACCTGCTGCTAGCTTGGCTGCTCCTATTGACACACAATAGATGTAGTACAAACCTTTTAAAAATGGCATTTTTTTTTTTTTTAATTTGCACTGAAAAAATTAACACCGAATTTCTCAGTAATAAGTGTTTGCACACTGCACTTGGGGGTACAAACTAACAGTAGTCATAAACCCAACCTGACTTCAAAGGGTTTAGACTACTGAAGCCATGCTGCATCTTCATATGATAAATTATCGCCATTTTTAAGAGCAAAGTAATTTGCTTCTTGCGTTTGTTCTGTTTGCTCAATTTCTAAAGTACAACCCCTGCTCCAGCAGAGATGAAAAGAGTCAGTCACAGAACAAGCTCAATTTGGAAGCAAATCTAGGTAGCCTGATGCTGCAGGTAGCCTAGCGCTGAGCCCACAGCTGGTTTGGTGCTGCTGAGAATCTCCTGTGTGTTGCTCACTGCGCTGAAAAGACTATGGTGTTTCAAAGGTAGGGCTCCCTGGCCCCAAGGTAAATGTTTCCCTAAAGACCACCATGCTCTAAAATATGAAATTCATTTTATTCTGTTTAGTACCTGCTGCAAGATGAACTGTACACCTGCCTGACCTCCTCTAATGTGAGCCGTTCACCCCTTCACGCCAAGACTACAGCTAGCACTAGATAGAACCCCAGCATGTAATTTTTCACCAAGCTTTCCAACCTCAGCCTTCCTTCCTGAGGGGAAAATGGTGTGGAAAGACCCATTTAAAAGTGCTTATTTCTCCACTCTCAGCACCATCTACTACTCCAAGCTCTGTACCTTTCTTTCAGTTGCTGCCTTTTAATCTCACTAGCTGCTTTTTATCTGTTTTGTTAATTTGCTTCTCACCCCAAAAATCCCTAAGGAAAGCGTGAAAGTAAAAAGAAGTGACCTAGTTAGAAGAAATTTTTACACAGCTTCCCAAAGACGTTTTCTCCTGAATGATTTGTATTAGCTTAGATATGTTTTCGGACAGATACAGGTATACATTATGGAAATAAATCTTTTACTTCCAACCAGTTCTACAGATACGGGCATAGAAGATGAAGAAGGGAGATAAGTTAATCAGAAAGAGAAGAGCCAGTATATATAGCTTATAAGATTCCCAGTAAGTTCCCATAGGTAAATTCAAATTAGTAGTTATTAGACATGTTTTCCAACAACTACAAATTTTCAAATTACACAAAAAGAGTCAAATAATTGTTAACTGTGTTCACACCTGAATTTTCAGAGCTGGGCTGAACTTTACCATCAAGACAGAGGTGGAGCTAGTGTTAGATCTAGACATTAGCATGCATCTTCCTTTCATGATATTCACCGTGATAACAAATAAATATAAAAAAGCAAGATCAGCTAACTCCCACTGAGTGGAGAAACCAGAGATATTATTCTGATTTAGAACCTGACTTAGACTAAAGCCTAAGTTAGTTTGGAGCTGTGTCTTCGTACTGAAGCCCAGGATAGCTTAGCTTAGCTTTTGAGATTCGTTCTGTCCAGTGTGGTCATAAGGTGGTTTGCCAGCACCTGCACATACATATACTTTAGAATCTGTATTTTGGGGAGGTGTGTTTGTGACACGCTTGAAATTGAGACTGGTTATCTTTAACAACAGGTAGTTCTCTCCATTAATGGGGAAATCTTGCGTTGCTGCAAACACGGAAATTCTGACAATGCCCACCCTTCCCTCTTTGAAAAGTTCTAGGAAAACAACTTACACTCCATGAATTACATAATATTAGTGCAATGGACGAGGTGCGAAGTGCTTTAGAAAGTAAATTCCAAGTAAATGCCCTGTATGGAGAGGAAAGACAATTCAGTTTTCAAATACTGTTTTGTTTATGGGTGGGTTTGTTTGTTTGTTTGTTTGTTTGTTTTTTCATTCTGGTTTGCATGAGATTTCTGTTCCCTATGGTATTCCAAAGGCAGTTTTTGGCCTGTGGATTCTACACCCCGCGATGTGATCCTGGCCTCTCTTGGAAGCTACAGAATAGACAGGGTAAGTTTGGGAATTGGGTGAGAGCCTTCTGATGAAAAGCTTAAGGTGCTTGAGCAAAAGACGAAGCACAATCCCGAATGAGCTCCCAGAGTACTCTACTCACTGCTTTATGTAGAGCTGAGTTTAGACCATTAAAACCGCATTGTTGGTCCACCTTGGAGTTTCAACTGGACAGCCATGTTTCCAGCCTGAAACACAAGCAGGACACATGCAGCTCTCCACTGCTGAATGAAAGTGGAGGCATAATAACCCATTTGCTAAGATCTTTTAACATACTGGTTTGTGTTAAGGGAGTTTCCCTGTTAATTTCTGAAATAAAAGTACATTTTTCCACCTGCAGGGTACCTGAGACAGCAGCACACTTACCTGTACCAAGTACACTTGCCCTGGGAGAGCTGAGGCATTACCTGCACCCACTTTAGCACTAGCAGCTATGGAAACACCTGCTTTGGCCACCTGCAATACAGCCTCGGGCATGCAGCTCCACAGGTATCACCCATTCACATCATTTACAGGATCAAGTACCTGAAAATAAAGAGACAACTATCTGAGCTCATCATCAGCCTCATGCAGGCTGAGCAGACGTAAACATACATCAGGCAACGGTAATGAACCGTTCTACAGTGAGAATGGGGCTTTCCCAATGCATCTTCCTTGAATTCCCCTCTCCCTCACTCACTAAGGAAATTGTGTGCAATGCAGCTCAGTAGGCCTGATTTTTTTGCTATTATAAATATGAAACTTCTCTATCAAGCTACATTTGCATACACTGAAAGAAAGGCAAGAGTTTAACTGCATCCTGCATCCTAAGACAACAGGGGCATCTGCTGCCAGACAGCAGCAGCAGGCCTGCCCTCTGCATTCACAGATGTCAAGGTTCGTGCCAGAGGGGAACAGAGGCTTGGATTTCAAGATTAGCCCCATCAGGCTGGGAGCAGACTCCCCGCCTAAAAGATGTATTTTGTTCCCAATATAAATATTTTGAAATTTAATTTCTGATATAATGACATACTGGCAGTATTTTCCTCAGTGATGGGTATGACTGAAACAAGAGCAATGAAACACTGAGACAATGTCCTGAAGTTAGAATTTACATCCCCCCAGCAACTAGCCCTTAAACCCTGGTAAAACCCCTCAAATTATTTTCCTCAGCTATTTAAGCTGTTAGAATTTAGTAGAACGCCAAAGGATGCCTGTCTTTACTGTTGTTTTTTTGGGTGGCTTTACAAACAGTCTCTTTTTGGTCAGTGCTAAAGCTGAAACTTGGCTGAAAGAACCAAGAGCAAGCTACTGAGTTCAAGAGAAGGAAACAGGAAACTTAAGAGTTTGGAGCAGTCTGTACGGCTTGAGGAGGTGACAGGAAAAAAAAAGATGAAACACAGTGAATAAAGCAGGTGCCCTTACCACTGTTAACAAAGTAGTTGTTTGATTCAGAATAGAACTATGGAGATTGAAAGGAGAAACATTTTACTGAAAACGAGGCATCTGGCATATAGTTCCTGGTTAGAAGAAATAATTACCTTATAGGCAGATACAGGAATGAAGGATATGCTTTTTTTTTTTTTTTTTTTTTTTTTTTTTTAAATCATGTATTTACTTGGATATTTCTTAAAGGAGAAAATTCCCAGATTTTTAAACTAAGGCTGTCTGAGAGTTTTCATCCTAACTTTGTTAGCCAAGGCGTAGCACAGAATCCAAGCCACTGAAGTTACAGTTAAGAAAACCCATAGCCGACTGACTGTCATCATTCCCCCAAAGTATTTATTTTTCCCTTCTGGAAAATGGACAAAATCCTAATCCTCCAAATGAGGGTGATGAAGCTGTAGTGCCTGTAAAGGCTGTATTTACTTCGTTATCTGTGTGACACCTGTGAGAATCCGTCGGGGCGGTGAGGAGAAAATGCCAGACGCTGAAGAACGGAGAGCGTGCCCTCAGACACATCTACACCGCCCACACAGACGCGGCCCACAGCTTCTTCTGGAAACAGCAGACTCGGGCAGCATTTCTTTCCATCTCTCCAGTCGTTAATCCAGCCCTACCCCGCTGCGGGGCGCACAGCCCCTGCCCGCAGCGCACGGAGCCGGCCGGGCCCCCCCCGCGGCCTCCCCGGCCCGGGCGGCTGAGGGGAACGGCGGGAACGGGCCCGCGGGCGCTGGGGCCGCGCCGCCGCCGCCGCCCGGCAGAGGCCGCTACCGGCGCCCGCCCGCTCGCTAACATGGCGGCGCCCAGAGGCGGCGGGCGGCGGTCGCTGCCGGTGCCGGTGCCGGTGGTGGTGGCCGCCGCGCTGGCGGCGCTCGGCGCCGGGTGAGTGTGCGTGCGGGTGTGCCCGGGGCGGCGGTGCGGGTACTAAAGCGGGACACCCCCGGCTTCCCTCCTTCAGTCGGGGTGGGTACCGGGGGCTCCCCGGCGGCGGGGGGGGGAGCGGGCCCGGGCTGTCGGTGGGGACCGCCGCCCCGAGCCGAGCAGCTCCTGTGCCACCGGCAGCCGTGGGGCAAACGCAGCTTGTCGTTGCAGGGGCCCCCCCGGAGACCCTCTGCTGCAGCCCTATTTCCCCGCCCGACACGGCCCTCGGCACCACCACAGGCACGTTCGGGACTGTCAGCCCCTCAAGTACGGCAACGTGACCCACGAAGCTTGGCCCAGTGACAACGGGACGGGCGGCCCGGTGGCTACCACCAGAACGTTTGTTTCTTACATCCCCCCCGAGGGAAAGGACCGCAAGGTGGTCTATGGTCACTTCACTTTTGTGAGGAACCCCCTGAGGACCTTCTCTGTGCTGGAGCCGGGCGGCGCGGGAGGCTGCCGGGCTCACCGCAGAGCCCCCGTGGAAGAGACGGCAAAGCTCGGGAAGTGTCTGGTGGCCCAGAACGGCGGGTACTTTGACATGGGAACCGGAGAGTGTCTTGGGAATGTTGTGAGCGACGGAAAGCTGGTGAGGAACTCTGGAGGCCTGCAAAACGCTCAGTTTGGCATCCGGAAGGATGGTACCATGGTGTTTGGGTAAGGACTTGGGGCTTGTTTGGAGAGTGCTCTCTCCTCCCTGCAGACTGGTAGGCACCACTGGGGCAGGAAGCATTGTCCAGGCAGTGCCTCCTTGGCCTCCCGCGGTTAAGAGTAGAAGGATGCTTTAAATGCTCCAGTTAGGGATGTCCTACCTGTACCCCATTGAGCTATCCCTCTGGCCATCGGCTTTTTTTCCTAGGATGAAGAGAAGCTGGATAAGTTACTCTGATGATCTCTAGCCGCTTAGGTTCCTGTGTCTCCCGACATGCAGCAGGTACCCTTGATTATGGTAGAAGGGGGACAGGTCTCTGTCCTCCTCACAGAGAGACAGAGTGGACTACATAACTGCTCTGGGTGCAGTACAGAAACGCTGGGGTTGGAAGGGACCTCTGGAGGTGCCTCATCCAACACCCTCCTCAGCACAGGGTTGGCTGGAGCGGGTTGCTCAAGGCCACGTCCAGTCAGATTTTGAATATCTCAGGATGGAGAGTCCACAACATTTCTAGACAAGCCTGTTCCTGTGGTTGACCACATTTTACAGTAAAAAACTTTGTCATATATTACGTTACTTACTGTTAAGTAGAAATCCAGCCATCTCCTGGATTGTCTGTGCTCTGCTGTGTTGCCCTTTTAGCAGATACCAGGATGGTTAAAGTCCCCCATAACTGCCAGGACCTGTGAACATAAGGATTTTTCCAGTTTTCTGAAGAAAGTCTTATCTACTATTTCCTGACCAGGCAGCCTGTGGCAGACATCCACCGTGACATCACCCACACTTATCTGCCAGAGCTCTAATCCTAACTCGTAAACCCTTAGCTGGTTTGTCAGTGCCTAGGCAGAATCATAGAATCATTTAGGTTGGAAAAGACCTTTAAGATCGAGTCCGACTGTTAACCTGGCACTGCCAAGTCCACCACTAAACCGTGTCCCTCAGCACCACATCTACACCTCTTTCAAATACCTCCAGAGATGGTGACTCAACCAATTCCCTGGGCAGCCTGTGCCAGGGCTTGTCAGCCCTTCTGGTGAAGAAATTTTTCCCAATATCCAATTTAAACCTCCTCTGGCACAACTTGAGGCCGTTTCCTCTCATCTCATCGCTTGTTACTTGGGAGAAGAGACCGACCCCCACCTCGCTACGACCTCCCTTCAGGCAGGTGGAGGGAGCGGTAAGGTCTCCCCTCAGCCTCCTTTTCTCCAGGCTAACCCACCCCAGTTCCCTCAGCTGCTCCTCATGAGACTTGTGCTCCAGACCCTTCCCCAGCTCGGTTGCTCTTCTCTGGCCGCGCTCCAGCACCTCAGTGTCTTTCTCGCAGCGAGGGGCCCAAAACTGAACCCAGTATTCGAGGTGCGGCCTCCCCAGTGCCGAGTGCAGGGGGGCGATCACTGCCCTGGTCCTGCTGGCCACACTAGTGCTGACACAAGCCAGGATGCTGTTGGCTTTCTTGGCCACCTGGGCACGCTCTGGCTCCTATTCGTCCGGCTGTTGACCAGCACCCCCAGGTCCTTTGCTGCCGGGCAGCTTTGCAGCCGCTCTGCCCCAAGCCTGTGGCCTTGCAGGGGGGTTTGTGACCCAAGTGCAGGACCCGGCACTCAGCCTTGTTGAACCTCGTACAATTGGCCTCGGCCCGTCGGTCCAGCCTGTCCAGGTCCCTCTGTGGAGCCTTCCTACCCTCAGGCAGATCAACGCTCCCGCCCAACTTGGTGTCATCTGCAAACTCGCTGAGGGTGCGCTTGATCCCCTCGTCCAGATCCTCGATGAGGACATTAAACAGAACTGGCCCCAGTGCTGAGCCCTGGGGAACACCACTTGTGACCGGCCGCCAACTGGATTCACCTCCATTCACCACCACTCTCTGGGCCCGGCCAGCCAGGCAGTTTTTTACCCAGCCAAGCGTACGCCTGTCCAAGCCGTGAGCAGCCAGTTTCTCCAGGAGAATGCTGTGGGAAGCGGTGCCAAAGGCTTTGCTGAAGTCCATGTAGACAACGTGCACAGCCTTTCCCACATCCACTACGGGGGTCACCTTGTCATGGAAGGAGATGAGGTTAGTCAAGCAGGACCTGCCTTTCGTCAGCCCGGGGCTGACGGGGCCTGACCACCTGGCTGTCCCGTACGTGCTGCGTGATGGCACTCGAGGTGATCTGCTCCATCACCTCCCCTGGCACCGAGGGCAGGCGGACAGGCCTGTAGTTCCCCGGTTCCTCCTTCCGGCCCTTCTTGTAGACGGGCGTCACATTTGCCAACCTCCCGTCACCTGGGAGCTCCCTGTGAGCCGGGAGTGCTGAGAAATGATGCAAAGGGCCTTGGTGAGCACTTCTGCCAGCTCCCCCAGTACCTTTGGGTGGATCCCACCCGCCCCCGTAGACTTGTGTGTCTCTAAGTGGTGTAGCAGGTCAGTAACCATTTCCTTATTGGATAATGGGGGCTTCATTCTGCTCCCCATCTCTGTCTTCCAACTCAGCTGGACAACGACTGGTCTTACTATTAAAGACTGAAGCAGAGAAGGCATTAACTACCTCAGCCTTTTCCTTGTCATTTGTCGCTATGTTTCCCCCCCTGCATCCAATAAAGGATGGAGATTCTCCTCAGACTTCCTTTTGTTGCTAATGTATTTGTAGAAACATCTTTTGTTATCTTCTATGGCAGTAGCAGATTAAGCTCTAGTTGGGCTTTGGCCCTTCTATTTTTCTCCCTGCATGCCCTTACAACATCTTTATAGTACTCCTGAGTTGCCTGCCCCTTCTTCCAAAGATCAGAAACTCTCCTTTTTTTTCCTGAATTCTAGCCAAAGCTCACTGTTTGGCCAGGCTGGTCTTCTTCCCTGCCGTCTTGGCTTTTGGCACATGGGGACAGCCTGCTCCAGCACCTTTAAAGTTTTCTTCTTGAAGAATGACCAGACTTTCCGTACTTCCCCTCGCCCTTCAGGAATGCCTCCCAAGGGACCCCTGGCTCAGGTCCACTGGCCACATGGTTGGCAGGAGTTGTTTCATGCGCAGTGTCCTGGGACCATCATTAACAGTGCTTTTGTGCAGAATAGTGGAGAACAGGGTCCACCCTAGCTGCTAAAGTGGTGTTTCGCAGTGCTTGGCCTCTAGTTTTGAATGTAGCTAGCTTTCATTCAGCCACCTTCTCCCTGCTTCTGGAGCCTGCTGGCAGCAGAAGAGGCTTTTACGTGACACTGCTGTGACCGTGGGTAACTCCTCCTGCTCTCTCTTTCCTAGGTACCTGTCTGAGGAAGATGTCTTGGATCAAGCAAACCCTTTTATGCAGCTCGTGAGTGGGGTAGTTTGGCTCCTAAGAAATGGAGAAGTGTACATCAGCCAGAGTCAAATGGCTGAGTGTGATGAAATTCAAACCACAGGTAAATATTGTAAAGCCTAGCTTCAGCCTGGGTATAGATTGTCTTTCTCATGGGGCTGTTGGAAGGAAGGGGTCGCAGTGGAAACTATGATGTCTAGTTGCAGTTTGCCACTCACTTAAGAAGTCCAAATTTATTCTGTGCTACTTTACACCAAGCCTGCAGCAAATGCAGTACAAGGAATAGGCTGCCTGCATGGTGAGGCTGCACTTGCCTGTTCAGGGTTGCTGAACAGAATTTGCTGAGGACTGTAAATAATGGTGGCATGGTTATTAATACTCGTCTAGAGAAACTCAAAGCAGAACCCTCTTACAGGAGTTTAAAACTGAAGGCTTCTGAATCCCCTTCTTTGTCCCAGTGCCACACAAAAACTTAACAAGAGTGCTTCTGGAAATGTTATTCCTAGATGAGCTTGGATGAACAAAAGGAACCTGGGTTCTGTTCTCACTGTGTTTCAGTTTAGATGAGCTCCTCGCGGGGAGCTGTTTTGCGCCCAGATGTGTCTAAACAGCCCATTCTGCCACCCAGCTGGTGCATGAATTATTCCCTCTCCCGCACAGGAACCTTTGACAAGTTCATCAATGTGATATCAGCCAGGACTGCGGTTGGACACGACAGGCAGGGGCAGCTGGTCTTGGTTCATGTGGATGGACAGACAGAATCCAGAGGGTAAGGGCAGGGTTGTGGTAAGGTGGGTGATCTTGGGGCAGGTGCAAGATCAATCTTTAAATTCTGTCACTGGAAGTGGAGGGACTCTGCAGCTGCTTGTGATATGTTTTAAGGCAGAGGCTTGCAGGGCTCAGGAGGTCGGCTGAAGACACTGCCATGGTGTCTTCCTGGCAGAAGAGGCCAAGGCAGCCTGCGGGCAGTGAGTCGGCAGCCCTGGGATGGGAGAGCTTCCCCCCTCCCGCTGAGGAGAGGCACCAAGCTGCCCGTCTAGCAGTTTCATTGAAGTCAAATGGCATGAATGAGCAACGAACAACTGTTTGCTTTTGCAGGGTCAACCTCTGGGAAATGGCTGAATTTCTGAAGAAGCAGGGAATCATCAATGCTATCAACCTGGATGGTGGAGGGTCTGCGACGCTGGTCTTAAACGGGACCCTCGCAAGCTACCCGTCGGAGCACTGGTAGGTGCTGGTGGCACGTGCCCAGGGCTGCACAAGTAACCGAGCAGCTCCTGTTAGTGTGCAGAGCTCAGTCCTACCCCTCTGCTCTGCAAGGGAGTCGGTCTGCGTTGCTGAGAGATCACAAAGTAAAGTCAAATGACGGGTTTTGAGAGCGTGTGACTCCGAAACTTAAATCTGACTGAGAGGCCTGATGTGAGAATCAGATAAGGAACCAGCTCCTAGTCTGGGAGAGTCAGAGCTGCACATTCACAGGAATTAGCAGAGGTCTGTCAACAGCTTTTTATTACGGAAGAGAAATGCTGACTTGGAGACCCTGCCCTGCCTCACGTGAGGGAACCTAAAGAATATTTTAGGTTAAATTTAGCTTTTAGTCATTTCTGACTGTGAACGTGAAAGGATTTAAAGTTGAGTTTGCAGTCTGACAAGCATTACTATAACTGCAGTGACATCACTTATATCAAAGCAAATCATATTGAAAAGGCCTGTCGAACGCCAAAGTTAGGGAAGCTGGGACTGCTTCAGGGGAGACTTTGCACATTGCTTTCTGTAATTCCATCTTTGAAACGTCTGCCGTCCAATAGGAGTTAAAACGTTGACTCAGGTCTAGTTTTATGTTTCTATTTTCCCGTTGTGAAAGTTCTCGTTTGCCAGTGTGAATCGGGATGAAAACGTGTGGATTATATCAACTGGTTGCAGGTAGGGCTGGGAGCCTCACAGTGCTTGCAGGCCTTATGGGACCCGTCTTCTGTCCCCAGCTCCTTTGACAACATGTGGCGTTGCCCTCGGAGCATCTCAACCATCCTGTGTATCCACGAGCCTGCCTGCGAGCCTGCAGACTGCGGCGGTCACGGGGACTGCGTGGAAGGGGAGTGCCGCTGCGCCGGGGATTTTTGGAGAGGTCCAGCCTGCGACGCCTTGGACTGCGGCCCTGCCAACTGCAGCCTGCGCGGCGTCTGCACCGCCTGTGAGTCGCCGTGGTGTGCAAAGGCTTCTCGGAGGTGCCCGGCGGGTGCCCGGGGGCAGCTCCGGGGGAAGCGTGGGCCCTGGGCAGCGTGTACGTGGGGAAGGACAGCTTCTTGGCCCCCCCCCCCCCCCCCCACTGCGAGGCACCGCGGCGGCGCCTCAGCCCAGCTTCACAGGGTTTCACAGGATCTGCTTCACGGGGTCCTTGCCCACTCTGGTGCGAGGGAGCGCAGCTCACATGAACCCGCACCAGTGGTAGCCACTTCCTTCGTGGCAGAGAGCAGCACCCTTGGAGAGCCTTCCCAGCCTTTTAGGGCCACGGGTGCCGATTGTCTGGCCAGCCCATGCCCTGACTCTGGAAGCCAGCTGGTGCTGTAAGCCCTTGTCTTACCTTCTGGGCATATGGAGCTGCTCTACCCCTTCCCTCCAGCATCTGGAGCGGCAGTAGAGATGGGCAGAACACGTCACCTTTAGGAGACAGCAGCAGGGCTAAGCTGGGACTCAGATCTGGAAACCAGGCTTTTAATAGAACTGCACTTCAAACTCGGTGTCTCAGTTTCCCTTTCTGCCTCCTTTTGTGCTCCTGGTTTGTTTGCAGAGCTGCTGATGGGAAGGGCAGTGTATTACGCTGTGCAACAGAGCAGCTGAGCTCTGCCCCCTCCCCTTAGCACTCCTTCCTTACTTGACTCTCCTGCTTCACGAGTTTTACAAGTGTGCAGTTGCTACTCCTCCATAAACTCATTTTGAATCTAGGGACTACTGTAGTGTGCATCCCCCAGCTTCTGCTATTCTGTGCCTGCTCAGTCCTGTTTCCCTGTTCCTGTGCTACCTTCCTGATTCTACTCACAGTCAGGTTTGTACCAGTGGAGTGACTGGGCAGAGCTCAGTGGGTGCAGGTGTTGCTAATAATTGACCCAGAGTTAATCTCTTGAAATCCAGTCAGCAGAAGGTTCTGCTGTGTTTGGCAGCTGTAGTGGGTGCATGTTTGAACCCAACCCATGTGTGAGTTCAGGATTTGTCTTCTGTGCCTTCCCTGGCAGGGAGAATTAAGAGGGCACCCCAAGAAGCAGAGGCTAATTTTGAGCTCCTGTTATTTCTGAGTCTTTCTCTGTTGTTGTTAATGCCTGTTTGTGTGTGTTTGCACAGCTGGATGCCTGTGTGACGCTGGCTGGACGGGCAGCAACTGCAGTGAAGGTAATGCTGACTTCCACTCCTCTCCACCACTTCATAGCCAGCAAGAGGATAGTGTGAACCACTTCCTAACCAGTGGTGGGTGGCTCCCCAAGAGGGAGCAGTGAAGGGAAAGGCCACACCAGGTCCTTTTCTTTTTGTCAGTGTGACTTTACTTGCAGCTTGAGCACCTTAAGATCAGCTTGGTGCGAAGCACTTTAAGTGCCTTGTTCAAGGCACAGACTCAGCTTCTGAGCTCTGAGCAGCCATCAGCACCCTGTGCCAGTGAGTGCTGCATGGCTGTAAGCACGGGGTGGGATTGCTCGCCTTTGTAGCGAGCGCCCTGATGAGATCTCTGCTTGTCTCCCGTAGCTTGTGCCAGCGGTTTCTATGGGGTTGCCTGCGCTCAGAAATGCCAGTGCCAGAACGGTGGCTTGTGTGACCCCGTGCATGGAGCCTGTTCCTGCCCGGCTGGGTACTATGGCACCACCTGTGAGCAAGGTAAGGGCTGCTCTGAGTAACGGCCTGGGCTGGGGACAGGCTTTTCTATCACATCTGAGCCACCTCCTGTAGGCACAGCAAGCGTGAGGTGTGCCCTGCAGCCTCCAGCCGGCACTTCACAGCTGGAGCAGAACCTACCAGCTCCCGGCTTTTAAGGGCTGGCTAAACAGAAGAGGAGGGAGCAGGGGGGAAATACGAGTTTTCGTCATCAATAGAAAATTGTGGATGCCTGTTTCGCCTCTGCCCCAAAGAACTGTGTTGCTTTCTGTCGTGGTTTAGGCCTGGTTGACAGCCAACCCCAATGCAGCAGCTCTCTCTCCCTTCCCCTCCGGCAATGAGAAGGGACAGAGAGCCAGGCTTGGGGTTCGAGATAGGACTGGGATGGGGGAAAATTCCCCTTTATGATCACGAGCAAAAGGCAGACTCGTTAGGGGAAGGAAAAAAAAGAACATACATTTATTACAGACACTAACAACACATAACAGAGTAGGACAGTGAGAAGCATTGCCGCATCTTGAGAACACCTTCCCCCCACCCCTCCCTTCTTCCCGGGCTCAGCTCTGCTCCCGATATCTCTACCTCCTCCCCCAGGGGCGCAGGGGCAGGGAATGGGGGGTGCAGTCAGCGCTGCCACTTTCCCTTATCTTCGGTGAGGGGAGTGTCCAGAACTTGTTCCTCCTGCTCCATCGTGGTCCCCCTCTCACAGCAGACAGTCCTCCACAAACTTTCTCCAACTTGAATTCCTCCCATGGGCCGCAGCGTTCCCCACACTGCTCCGTCATGGGTCACTAACTTCCTCCGACTGGATTCCCTCCCACGGCTGCAGCCCTTCCCGAGCTGCTCCGGCGTGGGACTCCCCCGCATGCTGCAATCCTCCCCGCGCTGAATTACAGCAGCGGGGCTGCCTTTTCCCATGAGACCCCAGCCTTCTTCGGGCACAGAACCTTGATCAGCTGAGCAGGAGCAACAGGCCACAAATCAATGTCTGCTCCACCATAGATCTTCATGGGTGGCAGGGGCGGCCGCCCTGCCGTCTCCCCACAGGATACAGGGGGGTCTCTGCTCTGGCACACCTCCCCCCTCCTTTCTTCCTCCGTTCCTCCACTGACCTTGGTGTTCACGCAGCTGCAGCAGCTCCTCCTCACCAGTCCCACTGCCTGTCACCACGTCCCTTCTTAAATACGTTATCGCAGAGGCGCAGCTGATTGGCTCAATTTCCCAAACAGAAGTGGAGCTGACGTGGAGCTGGGGGAGCTTCGAGAAGCTTCTCACAGGGGGCCACCCCGATAGCCCCCTCCCCTGCCACCAAAAAACCCCACCACTCACTCAACCCAGGACACTTTCCCAAGCTTGTGAGTGTAGAAGGTGAATATTTGAACATCCTTCACCCGAGGTTGTGGCAGCAGGCCCTGCCTGTAGCCCAGGCTCCAGGTGTCTCAAGTCAGTGAGTGTGAAATGCTCCAAAGGGCCATTTGGGCTTACAACCTTCAGACTCTGGCTGTACGTGGACTGGTGCTGACAGCTAGTGCTGCACTCGATTGTGTAACCACTCCAGCTTTTCTAAAGCGCTCCAGGCCCCCCCCACCCCTTGTACCTGAATGCTCTGGTGACAGGGCAAGTTAATTACCGCGTGGGTGTAAACTTGTTGTGCATGGGTAGTGATGCTTTGTTCTCAGCCTAGGAATCAGTCTAATCCCTATTTTACAAAATCTTCACTGTGAAGTAAACAAAGGAACAGCAGTTAACTCACCGTTTGGTGCTTTCAGGCTGGAGGCAGCGGGGTGGGCAGGCAGAAGAGCTTTGTCAGGCTGCAGGAACCCTGGGGACCTGACTGCTTCCCCCAAGCTTTGCTTGTGAGCCACACGCCAGGACTGTAGCTCAGATGTGGCAGGAAGGAAAACAGCAACAAGGCCAGAGACTGTTGTGGTGACAGAAGCGACACAAATACCTCAGTGGGATCTAGGTGAGGTTTGAGCCTCTCCTAAAGCTCTGAGTGTGCCCATCGCCCCCGGTGCTGCTGGCGAAGCAGGGGCAGTCGAGCTGGGGGCAAGGGGAGCTGCAGCGACAGACTGGATGGTCCAGAGCACGCGGAGCTTTGATAACGAGCCATTTCTTTGTCATCAATTCCCTAGAGTGTCCCATGGGCTGGTATGGGCCCAACTGCCAGAAACGGTGTGCGTGTGAACACACGTGTCCCTGCGAGCGGGAGACGGGCAGCTGCAACGTCACCTACGACTGGGCAGTACAGAACCAGTTAAACCAAGGTACCTCTGATTACAGCGGTTGTGTTTTTCCAAAAAAAAAAAAAAGTTGGAAGAGCAGCTTTGGTGTGTAATGTTCTGTTTGCTTAGTTATCGGCTCTTGCTGGCTGTCATCTTACCTAAGCTTGTTCTTTTTTAGTGGAATTTTACACCCTCCCCTCAACACTGCCTTGCTTCCTTGTGTTCTTTGTTTTCCAGCTGGGCGGTGTTTGGCTTCCCAGAATAAGGGAAGGAGCAAAGAAAAATTCTCTCTGTCAGAGTAAGTGTGTACTACTCATCATATCCGTATGTAACTCCACACTGAGTCCGTGGCTCACTGCGAGGTGAAGTTGTTCACAGCTCCCGCGTGCCAGGGCCGCGTGTCAGCAGAAGAGGTTAGAGACCTGCTGCTGCACTGCCCAAAACCCCCTGTGATCCGACTTCGCTGTATCACCTGCAGCTCTCGTGATGGGAAGGGTGAGGACAGGGAAGGGAAGGGGCTGAAAACTTAATTGTAAGACAAGTGCTGAGCTGCAGCCCCCCAGCCTCCCGGGTCATCAGTGCAGGTTTGCGCTCTGAGCCTGGCGCTCTGTTGCTTGCAGTTAGACAAGAGCCACCTTTCCTCCCCCCCAGCACACTGTATGTGCAACAGCCAGACAGGGACAGGCCTGACACCAGCACCTGGCTTCTGTGGCGTTGGTGAAGCTCCAGTCGTGCTGCAGGCACAGCTGGTTGCTTGTTAACTGAGGGGAAAACTGAAAAAAAAAAAAAAAACATCTGCTCTGGCTGCCGGAGCAGCCTTTCAGAGGCTTTCGCAGAGCATGTTCTCACGTGCCTCGGAGCAGAACCACGAGCTTGTGATGACAGAGAACGGAGTACAAACCTTGAGAAATCATTTGCACACTGGGAACCTGTGAGAGCAGGTCAGATGTTGCTTATGTGGCTTTTTCCTCTGTCTGACAGAAAAACCTGCATCTCCCTGACCTCTGTCTTGGCTCTGCTTCTGGCGCTTAGCGCCGTGGGAAACGTAGGCCTTTTTCTCAAGGCCAGGTCCGAGAGGCACCACGAGAGCGGGGATTACCTCTACCACCCCCTGAGGGAGATGAATGGGGAAGCCAGTCACACCTCCACATCTGCTGCCTGCGAGACAGAAGATATTCAGGACCAAAGTCAAGCACTCCTTTAGCGTCCAGGATGGGGAGAGGTGAGGTAATTTACTCTGCACCTCCTACTGCTACAGAGGCTCTGCAGACCTGGGTGTGAAACTGCTGCCTACCCTGAGCAGCAGCAAGATACCTCGGTCCTGGAACCTCCCTCGCTGCTGGCCCAGCCCTGCTGAGAACAGTGGCAGCTTCCCTGCCTTCCTCTGCGTAATTAGTTGCCACGAGAGGAGGCTGGGCACGAGCCCTGGGGCCAACTTCCACACACCCAGCTGCCACTGCCGCAGCAGGAAAGGAAATGGGCTGGTTCCCTCCCACACTTGAAGGAAGCGGGTGAGGAACGTAAGCCCCAGGCATGCCAGAAAGGTCCCTTCTCACCCGAGCAGTGGTATTTTTAAGATGCAAGAGGAATTGCCTGTAGCCTAAAGCTAGGCTTAAGGAAGTTGTAGCCTGTCTGCCCTTCCCTGGTAAGCTCCGACTTCTATCATAAAACTGAAAAAAGATTTCCTAAGGCGTTGAAAGAGATGCAGCACACAATAAAGTGACATCATTCCTCCTCCTGGCGACACAGGGATGGGCCCTTCTTGCACCTGACTTTCTTCATCTGGCCTGTGCTGACCGCAGGCCCAGAGTGGGTTTTTTACTCAACCCTTAGTCCTGTGCTTGAGTTTTTGGTAGGTTCTTGCAGTACGGCAATACAAAAAGCTTTTTCAGTTGGAAAATGTCATTCCCACCTTCTGTCGTAGCTCCCGGGAGCCGGTGTGGGCTCGGCCACCGAGGGACGAGACCCCGGCAGCGGCCCCTCCCTCCCTCCGGCCAGAGCTGCCCTTCCCTCAGCGGCGGGTCAGTACCTACTTGAAGCAACCCAAGATCCTCAACGTCTCGGCTGGAAGGGAGACGTTTTACTATAATACATCCTTGCACAATGCATTGTAAAAAAAAAAAAAAAAACCCCACCACATTTGAATTTGCTTCCATGTGAGGGAAATCTAGCCTTTAACACGCTACTTTAATGCTGCAAAGAGGGGGTGAAAGCCTGTCTGAGCCTGAATATTAACATTTTTATGCACTCTGTTTTTATCTCTCCATGTAAAGGATATGTAATTTTTGTGCTGCGGTTGGCATCAAATCACCCTGTAAACAGAAGATTCTATTTTTCTATTATTTACAGAAGACAATTTGAAACTTTAATAAAGTCTATTAGTGATAACCACCTGAAACTTGGATTCTTAATATTCTGTTGCAGAAGGAAGGTGCAGTCCTTTCCCCATTAATCTCAGTTGGTCCTTCAAACCCCGTAGGGCCCTTTTTATTGTAAATAACCAACTTCATTGCAGGATAATGTGTTGTACCAGCCTACTCCCTGGTATGAAAATAAAATAATGCTGGTTCTACAGGAAAAAATTAAATAATGCTGAATACAAGCAAGATTTACCTCAGTTCCTGTGGGTAAAGAGAGCAGCACACATGCTTACATTTTCAGAGTTTACTACAGTTTGAACAGTTGCATCAAACAATTAGCCACGTTCTTTAGAGATGCTTTTTTATTTCCAACATACAGAAAATGTACAGCTCCTATCAGAACCTACAAATACTGTAACTAAGTACATTTGTTGTTGAGTAACACATGACGAAGCACTAATGCATTTTGCTAATGTGCTTTTAAAGAATGTTTGGGACTTTTTTGGCTGAGAAAAATCAGGACTTCAACCTATAAAAATAAAGACAGCTGCAAGGGAGAGAAAGTGCATGCTTGTGAAAAAAAAAAAAAAGTAATGCCCATTTAACTTATGTATGTAACTAACCAGCTTGGAGGTGGCTGTTGATGTCATTAAAAGCCATTGCATGTCACACAATTCCTATTTAGCCTTCCAAGAGATAAATAATCAGATATAAGACTCATCACAAACTTGCTGAAATAATATTAAAGCTAATAGCATGCAGGAATCTCTGACAAACGCTTGTCAATGTTAGCCCTTAGAGTTCAAGAGCAATGTTTCTTGCATTATTTGGCTCACAGTATAAAAATTTCTGCTATTAAAGAAGTGTGAACTAGTAAAATGCGTTTTGAAATAAGGGATTCCTCTGACTCTAGTATGGCTGGCCTTAGCTCCTGTGTCAACATACGGCAGCTTCACACCTGAGTTGAGCGGACGGCGAGGCTCGCCACTTCCGCCAGGAATACCGAGTTGCAGGAAGAGTTACAGATTTTAAATGACTGGATTATGGCATTTTCAAAATCTGGTGAATAAACCAAATTGGGATTATAAATTCTTATTAAAAGTTGTGGGGTTTTTTTTTTTGCCCTGTTCCTGAAAGGGAACTGATACAACCAGACCGGCCAACCGTAAGATGGAAGCGAAGGCGGCTGTGTCGCGCTGCAGCAAAGGCGGGCGCGGTCACGCAGAATCCCCTCGCGTGCTGACATCTGGGGTTGCTCTTGCCCCAGCAGCGGGTGCAGGGAGCCGAGAAACAGCCGGGCCCGGGCCGTGCTCTGGCTGCCTCCCTGCTGCCAGCGCCTCGGTGCCCCTTCACAGCTCACCCCTTGGCACGTGGAAGCGGTAAAGCAGCCAGCGCTGCTGACCTTCCTGGGCTAAAGCCTCCCTCGCTCCCTCCACAAGGCTAAGGTGTTCTGGCCACAGCAGTTTTAAAAAAAAAAAAAAAAAGCCCTTTTCAGACCGGAAAGACAAAGCGTTTAGTCAAAATGACTCAGTTGCTGCATCCCAGCTTTGCCCCCACCTAGCCATCTCCAGGGCGTGCCCAGGTGTTGTGCTCCGTGTTTGCTTTTCCCCCTAAATGGTGGGATGGGGCAAACCTTTAGAAATGGCTAAGAATAAAGGTCTCCTATATGGCCATATTTACCTGGAAACAATGGCACAACACTTTGTACCTACAACCTAGCATCCTTTCTCTTGAGAGCTCCTATCGCACATTAAACATGGCAACAGCTCTCTGAGGTAGGTATTGTTTTGCATATGGACTATTTGAAACAGGGGAAAGCCCCAATTTGTCAAGGAGCTGTTTTTTAGAGACCCAGCTGGTTACCCAACCACAGCCCGAGCGCGGTGGCTTCACTGGAGAGCAGCTGTGGGGGAGCAGGGAGGGCCCTGCTGCAGCACCAGCTCAGCCCCCGGCGCTGGAGTCCATTCTGCGAGGTTCTGGCTCGGGAGATTTTTTGAGAGACGAGTAGCTCTCGGAGCCAGAATCCAGAACTCCTTCCAGTCTCAACTCAAAAGAGGTTGCTGTGAAGAAAACAGCGTGTTTGACTTTTCTATAGCACGCTGATGTCATTTTAGGGGAGGGGGGGGGGGGAAGTACTTCAGAAGAATTCTTCTTCCCTTGTCGCTGCAGATCACAAAGTGAGGTTTATAAAGCACAGCATCAGCCACGACATCCGAGCTGTTGCCTCCTTTTTCCTGTTCTGTCAACATTCAGGAAAAAGGTGGGGAAAAAAAGTTTATATTGGATTATTTAAATTGGTAGCTGAGTAAATTGGTAGGTGGAATTATCCAGCCAGTTTTGCTTAAAACTGACGAGGGAGAGATCAGAAGCTGCTTCCCAAAGAGAGGCGTGCAGCAGAGGAGCAGCACTACGGAGGAACAAGAGGAACCGCCGGGGCTGCAGCATCCCCGGGGCCAGCCGGAGGGAGCAGCAGCCCTTCATCTCCTCCTCCTCATTCACAGACCTGCCAGGGGGCCGAGTTCCAGGCGCCTCGCTGGCAGGAATTAAACATCCAAAACTTTTAATGGTGGGAGAACAGCACCTACCACATTTTAAAATTTAAAAAAAAAAAAAAAAAAAAATCCACTGCAACAGAAGGGATTCTTAACCAGAGTAGACTAAGAGAAACACGGGAAACAAGAATATTACCACCAAGGGACGTGACCAACCATGTAAAAATCAAGTCACAAGAAGCTGAAATCCTGAAACAGCACAGGGAGGATGAGGCTGGATTTGCCCCTGAGGCTTTGGGAGTTAGGCTGAAACTCTATTTCTAGGTGTTCAGTCAGTCTAAAGAGAATGTACAGAAAGAGTAAGGTCTTGTTTCAGTGTGCCAGGTGTAGGAGAATGAATGAGAAACATCGTAGTATTGCCTGCCACGTCCCAAAATGTAAAGGGGCTACGGGAGCTGCCCTAGTAGAGGGCTGGACCGGTGAGGAATGTGGGAGCGTGTTTGAAACAAAAATCAGCCTGGGACAACAGAAGTGCTTAGCCCACCCTTTCACTCATGGCCTCGCGCCTAAGGAGAGCTCTGCAGGAGGGTTACATCAGCACTGCTGGACCAAGAGGAGATAGAGTTGTTCTGGAGGTTGGATAAGCAGCATGAAGAGAAGAAGAACATCAATAAGCTGATTGCGGAACATATTCCATCTAAGACGGCTAAGCAGATAAGTGATAAAAGAAGAGGACTTCATAAAAGTCCAGTGAAGAGAAGGGAAGATGATCAGGACTGAAGGAAACAGCTAGAAAAAGAAGGAGAACATCTAGTGAGCACGAGACCCTGAAGAGATAAGGGACTAAGGTCGCGTTATCAAAGAGGGATGTCTGATTGGATAACATCAGAAAAGCTGTCTGTTCTCCATGGCCCATTTGAAAGGTTGATCGAAGGGAAATAAGATGAATTAACGTTGGTTGATGAGGCAGTTGAGGACTGCTACTCATGCCTGTAGGTGAGGTCCACCAAGTTGGAAGCAAGTCAAGGTCAGAAACACCAAGTGGCTCGCAAGGCCCGTCCTTAGGAGCCACCAAAGGAGCGGATGAAGAAGGGGGGCAATTTCTACAGTTCCAGCGGCCGTTTCACCTGGACAGATGGAAAGTAGCCGGCATTATCCTGAACGACGTTGAATCCCTGAAGTGCGGTCTCCCATTTGACGAAGCGCACAAGGTGTTCAAGTCAAGATTGGGAATCACTGTGAACATTCAAGGGCCTAGGTGCATTCAGGACCTTTGGCCAGGCAGACAACACGGCATTCGAAGCCGTGACTATGCCAAAAGAGATCTCTAAAAAACCATCAAAATTGATGAGCAAGAACACAGCACCAGGACCAGATGGGCTTAGTTTGAGGGATGTCATTGGGACTGATCCCCACTATACCCAGTTAATAGAACTACTCAGTCTGTGGTTGGTATCTGGTACAATACCGGCCACGGTGAAGGACTGTTGGACCATATTATTAACAACGTCAGCATTACCAGAGCACCAGAAAGATTATCAATAACTGGCAGCCAATTACCATCAGATAGTCTGCCTTAAGACTGTTCTCAAGGATTATAACAGCAACGTTGGCCAAGGCATGTCCCATTGATCTATGACAAAAGGGAAATATAAGATCAACAGAATGTGCGGAAAAATCTGAAATTGTTACAGCTTTTAATTTGGAATACAAAAAAAAAAAAAAGAGAAGTGGCCCCTGGGAGTAGTCTTTGTTGATTTAGCCGAGGCTTTCGACATGGAGACATTCTCACATCATTGAGGCTCTAAAACAAAAGGCTGTGGATGATCATATTATCACCCTGATTGCTAATTTGTGTAACAACATCAATATATCAATATCAACATGAAGAATGAGCAGTCGGATCCTGTTGGGATTCACATTGGTGTAAAACAGGAAGATCCAATGTCTCCAATTTTATTTAACTTTTCTGTGGACCCTTTGCTGTGTAAATTGGATGAGGAAGGAAATGGGTACCAACACTACTTGACATATATAACAGCTATGACTTCTGCAGATGACCTGGTACTGCTTAGTGGTTCTGGGGAAGGAATGCAGAAAAACATTGAAATTGTTGAGGTTTTTTGTGACTTAACAGGTCTCAAGACAGAAGGAGAGAAGTGCCATGGCTTTTACATCTAGCCTACAAAAGGATTCATACAATCAATGACTGTCCTCCATGGACAATTAAAGGCACCTCCCTCAACGTGATTGAACCTGGTAGTTTTGAGAAATACCTGGGCTTACAAGTAAAACCCCTGGATTGGAATATCAAAACCAGAACTACTGACTGAAGTGACAGAATAGTTACATTGGATTGGAATGTCATTTTTGAAACCATTGCAGAAGGTCAACATCTTGAAAGGATATGCTATTCCATGCTTGATCTGCTTGGAGGACCAGGCTGATATAAGATCCACGTACCTAGAGATGCTTGACTTGGCGATAAAAACAGCCATCAAGGGATGGGTACATTTACCAACAAGTACATGTGATGCCATCCTGTATTCCAGGATGGAGGTCTCTGTCTCACCAGACTTTTGGGGTTAATTTCCAGTGTACAGGCCCAAAAACTGCACAGGATTTCAGTCTTCTGATGAAATAATTAAGGCTATTGTAAGTCGAGAAGGTATAGAGAAAGAGTATGAAAGGTTGTGTGTTGTAGCAGGAGGGAACAAGGATAAGATTCCACATATACGGGACGTGAATGCAATTATGGTGAGAGCAGAAGAGTTGGGCAGAGAGGAGCAAGACTCAGAATTGGAAAGGGCTGCTCCTCAAGTCATCTTTCCGAGACCCTGTGACTGGTGTAAGCAGGAATTTATAAACTGGACTCAGCTGCTGTCCCAGGGCTGCGGGTTTTCCAAATTTGAAAAGGATAAGATCAGCAATAGTTGGCTCAAATATTACAGAGGCATTCCCCAGAGAAAGTTTATTACCACTTTACAACTAAGGGCTAATGTCTGCCTCACAAGAGAATTCTTGGCAAGGGGTAGACAAGAGACACAAATTAGATTGCGTTGCCATTGTTGTGTGGAGATTGAAACCTGTTTGCACATCACTGGTTATTGTCCTGTAGTACAAGACAATAGAATTAAGAGGCACAACCAAATACATGAACTGTTGGTGGAGGAAGCCAAAAGGAAAGAATGGGTAGTATTTCAAGAACCGTTGCTGAAAGATGAACAAAATGAATTATATAAACCAGGCTTGGTCAAAGAGGACAAAGCTTTGATAGTAGATGTTATGATCAGGTATGAAAGTAAATCAACATCATTGGCAGAAGCAGCAACGGAGATACTAAAGGAATATCATCATCTTAAAGTTCAAGTTCAAGAACTAACTAATGCTACTACTATTAAATTTACAGGTTTCCCATTGCGTGCACATGGCAAATGGTATCAAGGCAATTATGAACCGTTAGTGGATTTGGGACTCTCCAGTTCCCGACAAGATAAGGTTACATGTCGTTCATCAAATCGAACACTATTCGCATCAGTAGACATTGTACATCTATTTGCTAGTCAAGCGAGAACAGTAGTAAAATCTTAAATATATTATTGTAATTGTGAATGCATTTTGTAAAGAATTATCTTTAATAAAGTCTTTCCTACCTATCTATCCCTTATTAGTAGGGTGGAACTAACCAGTCTCGTGACGATTAAGATCAAGAGTTAGGCCCCTGGAAAAAGAATAGGAGTATTGAAAATCTATCGATAGTATGTAGGGATACGAGAATTAGAATCATGACATGTCACTTATGCTGATAAAAAGACATCAATTACCAAATTGAACCATTGATTACTGATTTGGACATAGGTGGACAGGCCACCTTTCCTTAACTTGGAAAAGAAACATATAAAAGTTATATGTGTTTGTTAAATAGCATCAGAATTGATTATGGGTAAAGGATTTTACATGAGGGATACACACATGCACTTTTAATTCCAAAACTCTTGATTCTCTGGAGCAAATACGGTACTTTTCCCCTCTCTATCAGACTCCAGCTATGCTGAAATGACAGAGACAGAACATTTGTTCATTTGGGAAAAATGGTAAAGTCCACAGAACAACTGATTTCTCTGAAACCAGAACTTTCCTGGGGCCTGCGTAACTAAGTTACCTGTTCCACTCTTACATCAAGAGGTGCAAGGTGGGAGAGTAATTTCCTTGACTCCAATCCTTTATGCAAGTTGCTTGGTTTCTTTAAACACATCAAGTTCTTCGTCTCCCACTGTTCAAGTATTAGGGCTCTTTTCTCCTTTGTCAATGCCTGGTGCTTCAAAACCAGCAATTAATAAAGCAGGGTCAGAAGGAACTACTTTACATATATGTTGTTCTTTGCTGCACAGATTCCATCAACCTTAAAAACCTGGTGAGAGGGAAAAGAAGCCCCAAGTCTTTACTGAGAAACGTGGCCATGGGTACATGGATTGCTGTGCTGAAGGAAGAAACCAACTTCCACCACCACCTGTGCTTCCCTGCACCCCAAGCCCAGAACTGTTTGTGCTGCTCCCCAGCTGGGGAACCAGAAACTCATTCATCTTAGACCACATTTGCCATATTATGTGACACGAGTCACTCAGCTGGGCTAACCTGAACAACTGCAGGGGCAGTACCCTCACGATCCTTCTGTAGGCAGATCTTATGCAGAGGGAACCTCCAGTTGGTGCAGAGGAGGTTTTCACACAGCACAGCTGGAGCTGAAAGCAGACATCTGTCTGCATCGTAAATCCTGCACATCCAGCTGCAAATACTGCCCAGGGGCAACTGAGTATTTGATGCCCATCCTCATTTTGTTGCCACCTAGACAATAACACATAGAACTTTGCTACCCAAGCTGATCAATGGATCACTAGCACCTTTGCTACACATCTCCTCTCTGGAATAATCCATGGAAATTATGGACAAGCATGGTGTCATTGCTGTGTCGTAAAGACGCACTATCTCCTTACAACTCCTGAACTCAATCCTCACTTCTTACTCCTGAGAAACATCCCTCTGGAGTCCAAAAAGCATTGGACTCTGACCTTGCCTCGCAGGAAAAAACGACACACAGCCCTTACCCCAAATGCTATGAGCGATACAGCCCTTTATGCAAGAACATCCAGCGATCCCAAAGATTAGAACCTAAATAGAAAGATTTCTTGGGATTGAAGACAATCAGTTATTCCTTTCTAAAAGAAAGTTTGTCCCATTAAAAAAGGTGACTGGATTTAATAAATAGTCATTTCTGAAATTATAAATAAGTTAAAAATTAATTTTAAATAAGCTAGTATTTGAATAAATATGTTTCAGTAAGTGCTTAAATACATACATGCTTTTTTTCTTCTAAAGTTTTCTCTTCTAGCTAGATCATGTTTTAAAGAAGCAATTTCTATAATACTGTCATAAAATTTTGTGCCTTCAGGAAATAAAATATTGCTTTTCTTAGCCCTTTATACTTTGATTCACTTCCCATCCACTTTGATGAGATGGGTCAGATCTACTCATTATTGCTTGTAAACCTGAGGAAAAAGGAATAATAGTCTATCTTTAAGATGCTGCTTACTGGAGGCAGGTTCTCTGCCTGTACTTTCTAGAAAACCATTTTGACTTTTGTGTCTGAGAGGGTTAAAAAAAATCCAACACATTTCCTAATAGCATCCTGTCAGATCAGAAGAGGTTTTAGGTTTGACCTGGAACTGATTTCTGAAACATCCTATCTGTATAAAGGTATTTACAGTTTGCTTCAAGTCCCTGCACCTGAAACGCCCCCTTTACTTTCTGATGTGTAATTGGTACCCTGGGCACCCAGAAAACTAGATTAGTTTTGCTACACATGAATAATCTAGTCCTACAGTTCAAACAGATAAGGCAACATCAGTCTCCTCTACCACGTGTAGGAAAAGGACTGATTGGAAAGAGCCCTTTAACGTTCAGTAATACAGAGATTCATGCAAACTGACATTCGTCCAAAAAACACAACTTGTGAAAAAGACTACTGAGAAGTAGGCATCTGATATAAAAATTCTAAATCTGCCATTTGAAATCGAAGTTTTTAAGTCTAAAGTAGCTCCCAGAAGCCTCTCTGTGTCCAAATGGCTGCTACCTATAGTCACACAAACAACTGCCTCAAGGCTCAGCCCCTGTAAGGCTCTTTGGTTTGGTGCACAGAGCAGCTCGGGGGGGGGGGGCAGGAAGCCCCGAGCGATTTTTCCTGCTGCTGTAGCCTTGGCCCTGCTATCTAGAAAGATGGGAGCTGCTCTGGGACTGGCTGGAACATGTCGTGGCTCCACTCAGCTGGGAAAAGCCGCTGTTGCAAGATTCCAGGCTTGACATGGATCCCCTGGGATGGGACAAAATAGAAGTATTTGTTAGGAAGACAGCTATTAATGGATACCTCTACATCCCACAGATCATCTTACACCCTATAACACTTGCAAAAGTATTTTATTTTTCGTCCCATCATTTTCAACTTGGTCTCTAAGAATCTCTGTACCATGATGAAAAATCCATTTGTTAGAGACATCTTTTCTTCCTGGCAATAGATATTATACCTTGTCTCTTGTGGTCATTCTGGGAGTGGGACACAGCTGGAGCCTCTGTGGGGCTGCATTCACTGCCCCTGAGCAGAAAGGAAAACTCAAGAGAACTCCAAAGGCAGCACAGCTCAGTGAATACAGCTGCCCCTGCTAACCCAAGAACCCCAACCTGCTAAGCACGAGAGTCCCAACTTCAGCATGTCCAGCCATGGCCTTCAGCTCCTTCTTCCAAAAGCAGACTGGGTTCACCATAGTTGTGATGGCCTACTGTTCCTGACTCATTTTTATGCAGGCAGAGCAACAAGGTGCAAGTTTGAATGACCGCAGTGGGGAATTTGCTGCTGCTCTGACTCCACAGGACCTGGCCAGGTCACATTCTCAAGGTTGCCACTTGCCCATCCGCAAGTCTGTTCTACCTAACACTTCCTCCAACTCCTAGTGAAAGGTTGAGTACTTGCAAAAAATTCAAGGTGATTTGGAAAGTACTTTTAGCATTAAAGGAGGGTGGGCAAATCCTGCCAACATGGATGGATTCACCTATTCAGAAAGCACTCAGCAAACCACGACTGACATCCTTCTCATGTGCTAGACAAAATACGCATTAAATAGCTCAGCTGATATTTGCTAAGTTACTCCAAAAGTAACTTCTCAAAATGCTCCTAAGATCTAAAATCTCCCCAGTTGAACACCTCCCCCGCTTCAGGTAGTTGTAAGCAAGAACTGAAGCACAAATTCCACTGATTGACATACAGCCAGGGGGTCCTTTACTACCTACAACACTAAACACTATTCTTTGCACAAAATGACACTAAGTTTGTGTCCATTTAACTGCATCAGTGAAACACACACCCTGTGGAGATCATTGGTATCTAGATGTTTAACATGCACTCGGTCCTCTCACTTGCCTTCTCTATTGCAAATCGCACAGTAAATTTCCCCCAGTAAATCTCCTACCTGAAGTCCTTGGATGCAAGCACCTCGTAGTAGTATATAAGCTTGCACTTGTGACTGGAAACTTGCAGAGAGGCAAGAACATCATCCACCCGAGGGAGGCTAGTGCCAGCACAGGGCAGAGGGCCGTGCATTTTCCACTGGAGAATGTAAAAGCCTGGCCAGCGAGTCACATGAGAACCCTGGGAGAGAAAAAGAGTGCCATCAGATAATTACCAGACACCTTAAGAAACAGATGAATGACTCAAAGTCAAAAGAAATTACATTTTACATGCCTGAGCCACACCCCTGTAATGCTAGTAAAAAAAAAAAAAAAAGATGGTTATTTTCAATTTTTCAATTAGCTTTTTATCATGGATTACTGAATCTCCTTCCAATGGCTCAGTCTAAATTAGGACTGTAATAGCAGCCACTTTCCCAGGGAATCCAGAGAATGATGACCACAGCAACTATTTCCAAGCAGTACATGATTCTCCATACCATCAATTCCTTCCCCTCCCCACCACCAGGCCATTTTGGAGTTTGCTAGTACTGTAAGATCTGTGCCAAGACTCAAACCCATCTGACCTGGATGCTCTCTCCTTCCCGGCAAACCAGTGGAGATTCCATACGGCTGTAATCCACCCCAAGGACCCATGTCTTATCAATTAGCTGCATATTGTCCCCGGCAGCAGAGGTACTTGGTAATGTGGCTTCTTTATGACTTGTTTCAGGAGCTCGTTTGGAGTGAAAGAGGCTGAACACCACATCTCCCTTCAGGATGTCAAAGTCCCAGGTGATGACAGATTCCCCTTCCAGAATCTCCACAACTATCTAAGATGGGAACAGAACAAGCACGTTATGGAGTCAGATCTTCAGGTGGCATTCCTCCCCACTCTGAAAACATGCTTTTCTTTATAATCCTTCAGTTTAGCTATCGGTCTTGACTCCTAAGGAGGATATAGACTGATTCCCATTGCCAGTCTTCTGTCACAGTACATCTGCTCAAGCATTTTTACCCCATCTCTCTCCAGCATGAGTTGTTTGTAAATCGTTTACTAGTTCTAGGAAAACCTCAATGGAATTGAAGCAAAGCATTCAGTCCACAGCACTTTCCGAGTGGCTGTGCACTCCAAAAGGCACTGCTGCTTTTCAAGGAATCTAAGCAGGCCAAATCAGAGTTACTCATCATCAGTGAAGCTAGTGGACTGTTTTGACACTCAAGTGCTGCTTTTTTAGACATTCTGTTTCCTGATGAGCCCCATCAGGCTGTTCCCAGTACATACCTTCTTAAATCACCACCACTACTGTCCTAGCTACGTCACCAAGCACGGAAGCTGTACTATCAGAAGGGAAACTGAGGGAGCTTTATTTCCCCAAGAAGGAAGAGGAAGAGACTGTATCTTACAGAAGATCAGGCTGTAGTAGAGATAAGAGACACTGCTTCTCAAATTGCTGTTCTTAACTTCCACACTTCTAGCTGGTAACTAGCATTAGTCTTCCAAAGGAAGGCAGGCTGCTGCTGAACCATCATGTGCTCATGCTTTGGGAGCCCTTCACTGTTCTAGTCAGCCCTAACAAAAGGAACACAACACTGACAACCAGTTCAGCACCTCCTTTGGCCGTATGAAGTTCTGGTCTGTACCTCATGTGGAGCTCCTTTGAGGACACTCGCAGAATGATAGATCGTTTCTGTCCATAACCGGATGTGATCCGAGTTCTCTGGCTCCTCTTCTGTTTGATAAAGTGACTTGGGAACAAGTCCACCTTCTGGGACAGTACACTGGAAGAGTCAGACAAACAAATATGAGGGTTCACACTAATCTAGTGGTGAAGTATCAAGTCATCTGTACCATGAACACTTGCCGGTTCTCAGACACAGAGGATGACACCCTCAGCTGGTATAAGATTTCACAGTGAGACTAAGCTTACTTGAACTATAGTGGTTTATCTAAGCTCCATTTAGAGAGCTGAGCTCTAACCCCATTCTCCAGGGCAGCATCACCACTTCAGGGTGAAGTCTCTTGTGCACAAATTCACTGCACCGTGATCAGAGTAGGGGTATCCCAGCCAGAACGGAGGTTTAACCACCTTTCAGAAGGGAGTGGAAGGCCAGGGCGTCGAGGACAGGGGCATCGAGGGAGTTTGCACATTGCAGATTCCACCTGCACAACAGGAAGGAAAACCCACCATGCAGTCTCCTCCCAGGAAGTCTGGGATCACGTCTTTGTCCACGTAGTCTACCAGCCCTCCTGGACCCTGATAGTTATTCCCACTGTAAATGAGGAACTTCTGCCTTGTGTTCTCATTGATAAAGGGACTAACCTGAAAATTGGACAGAAGACATTACTGTCACCGAGTTAAGTTAGAGACAATGTTTATACCATCTTACACAGATGTGTTAGGCTCAAGACGGGAAGGTCTCATCAACAGGAATGCAGACCAGTAGTAGTGCAGAAATTCACAACTCTGAATCACTTCCCCAAAGAAAGGGGTAGTAAATAGAAGGTGCACTATACCATCTCACAACATTTTCTACTTTGTGTAAAATAAGTTTGCAGTCACCACACCACATATTAACCTCACAAGAAATTTAACAAGCACTTTCTTAACATTGTCAGAACAGCCAGCAGGTGCCAGGCAGAATGATATTTATTACTCTTCTCCTCAGTGTCCCCCAGCATGAGGTTAAAAAAATACTTGTCTTTTCCTACCAATCTGAAACCCCACCAAGTTTGGGCTACCACTGCTGCATGAGGATTTGCAGTTTAGGTCCGATGTCCCGTCCTGGTGGATGATAGCCACTAGAATCAAATGAGCTACAGGCATGCTATGGCTTGCTCATCTAGCGGATGATTGAGCTATTTGTACATGCACAATTGCTTATGATACTGTAAGTCCAGATTTCACTCACCAGAGTCCAGAGCACAGGAAAAACCCTGGGTGCTCGCACAATCAGTAGTCTCCCCAGAGTTTCAGGATAGTTGTCCTCTACAACCTCAATTATCCGAAGCAGGGCCTTAACTCCAGGCCGCCAGAGATGCCGCATATTTAGCCCTTCCAAGTCCACCAGACATGTCCAGGATCTAAAATAAACACACAGAAAAAGACCTGTCAGAATCTTCATTGCGCAGTGGTTGCTCAGTTTATGACGCGGAAAATATTTCAGTAACACCACAGCCTGTACAGGATGAAGAGAAGCCAACAAGGGAGACCAGCAGTTCCAATAAAAAGTAGATCTCCACTCAGGCAGCAGATAGCCTGAATCCAGTGAGCTTTCAGATAAACCAGACAGCCAGTCCCGAAGGCAAGACCATATGCTGTCAGTGTGAAAGAGGGTGAAGGTATGCAGGCCTATTGCTAAAAATAATTCAAAAATACATTTTACATAAAAGTGGAATCTGGCAGACAGTTTCCTGTACAAAAGAAAAAAAAAAAAGAGAATTTAATGGATCTGGATTAAAATCACCAAGATAGCAAGATTAAATTTAGCTGAAAAAGATATAAGGAAGGATCAACACTTGCTCTCATATGAAGTGGTTGAATTTATCTGCATTCAAGTCCACTATATACGGGTACCCCAAGCGCAGGAACAGCCCCTAACAGAGAGACACTGCTGTCTGCAGTTTAACCCCAAAGGACATCATCTAAATCATTTACAGAAGCACTCTTCTCATCATGTCAGTTCAAACTCTGTAAGGATACAAGAAAACTAACTATACTAACGTGATGGGGCGGCCAAAGATGTTGGTATTTTCCTCACATCTCTTTTGTCCTTCCTCATTAATTGACAGAACCTGAAATCAAAACCAATACAGACCAGAATTAACCTGAGAAACCAGGATAGCTCAGATTTCATAAAATACAGAACCCAGAAGTATACCAGCCAAAACTTACAGTGTGCAAAACAGAATAAGAGTCTACCTTAAAAGGGCTTCTCTATGGAAGAGTTGTGTTGATCACACAATGTATGGATATTGAAAATCTAAGATGAAATATAAAAATCTCAAGATCAAATGTCATTAGCGGAGCTATATGAACGGGCCATGGAAGGCTTAAAATAAACTGTAAATTAGCAGAAAACATCCTTCTGGCCCATTCATACCATTACAAAAGTTCCACTTTTGTCTCTGCAGGAAGACAGAGAAGCTGTGCTGTGCCAAAGTCACTACACCAACTTTGAGTTGCCAGCCACAAAACACAGGAGTTATTTGTGACAGACAGGTAGATTCCAGCTGCATTATACCAAGGCTTCTAAACACCCTGAGATAAATAGCATTCCCGCAGTGAGAAATGAAAGTACAACTTACATGTCGCAGCAGTGACTCCTCTCCCAGAGCTTTCACCAAACCTTTTGTGTCCATCTGACCAAGACGAAGGATGTAGAGTGGTCGTCCATCTTCAAAACAAACATAAGGGTTTAAAGAGGGAAGTACTCTAATCTCCCAGGCTATCACTCTAGTACCTTTTATAAAATCCCCATTAAATATTTGAAAAGGATAAAAGCCATATCCAAAGGCAACGTTATCAAAGAGATGCTGCTTTGCACTAGCTCTAGTCTGCCCGATCTGTGCAGAGAAAATAACAAAACCACAGCAAAACAGAATGGTTATTTACAGGTGTTGAACTACTTTGTTAACTCTAAAAGTGTCAATACAACTTTCTCCCAAAACCCCAGGTTACTGATGAGGTCCTTTACAGCAAACTGTGCTGTAGTGTCAGTATAAGGGGCAGATTCTAACCTTTATCTTGATAATGCCATCCTCCAGTGTAGTATTCATCTAAGAGAGCTGGGGGCCTCCATGACTGTAGAATGTAATCAACCTGGTACTGCTTTCGCCACGACAGTGACTGACAGAGCATTTCTCGAGCTTTGTCAATGTTGAAGTCACGAGCCCGCAGAAATCTAAGGATATGTTCATCCTTGGGGATCTGAGAGAAGAGAGAGTCCTAGGATCAAGTCTGGTTACCTATACCAGTTCCATACAGCCCGCAGAGCATGCACCATTTTTTAATCTCTTAAAAACCAAGACAGCAAATATTAAAGCTACATTCTTTCTCCCTCCCTCCTTAGCTAATCCAGCTGGATGCAGCAGGTGGTGCTAGGAGCACAAGAGACATGACCAATTCACAGCCTGTGAGAAGCCTTTCACTGATCCAGTTGCCAGCAGCCCCAGCAAACTCTGGGCTGGCTAAAGTTTCCCTCAGCTAGCTATCCACAAGGACAAACAAAACACTGTATGAAAGTAACAGAGCTGCACACTTACCTCCCCCACCCATAGGGCAAATTAGCAAGGATGGAAAGCATCCATAGGTAACACATTAACCAAGTTAAGCACACACTGTTTGGAGGGGGATCGCAGCCGTACAGTCTTCAAACAATTACTCACTAGCACCAATTCCAGCTCTTGTGCAGGCCCCTCGTCTGCTTTGCTGCTGACCATGCTTCCCTGGCATTGTTTGAACAGGAAAGCTTTTGAGTTCTTCCACAGGCCCATCACATCATACTAACTCTTGCCAAAACAAACAAATCCACCAAAACTACAATATACCCTCTCTCTGTCATTCATCCCAACACTTTCTACCAGTACTTCTAGTGTCATAGGCACAAAATGTTTCCCAAACCAAGACTGTAGAACGGCTTAGTCCAACCTCCTTCCAAATCTCCCATGTTCCCATAGCTGAAAAATCAAAGAAAAATAGCCAGTAATACTAAGCAACAGGAATCCACAATAAACCCAATAGATTCCACAGAAGTGCCAAATTTGACTAAAAGCCTGTCAGCTGCCAAAACAACTGGATTACAGCTGCATATGCTGCTGGTTTCTCAGTCCCTTCACCCCAACTCCCCCAAAAGTGTTTGACCTCATTTGCTACACGAAGTTTCCATTAAAAATTCAAGCTCTGTGGAGCAGGGATAGTCTCCTCTGGAGTATCTGTACTGTGCTTAGCACAATGCAAGCAATCTGAGCCCTGCTGTAAAACAAAAAAAGCGTGTGTTCAGGAGTCAAAGCTCTTTTGTTTGTTCACTGACATGTTCACAAGAACAGAAAGCAGGGAAGAAAGCAAAGCTGCCAGCAGTGTCAGGCTGGGAGCAATCTCAGCTTCACGAGCTGCAAAAGATATTAAGAATTGATTCCACCTAAAGAAAGGGGTAGAGCTCAAAGCTGCTTAAAGCCAAGCCTAGAAGCACCTGAAGAGATGGGAGATTTAACGCTGTTCAGCATATTTTAACACTGCAAACACTGCATCTATATGTCATAGAAAGGAAGAGGGCAGCCTTCCCAAATAGGATCTCAGATGTATTTAGAAGAATGCCGCCAAAATTTTCTACATTGGAGTAAGATTAAAGACAGCAGAATTTTCATCAGATGATTTACATTTGCATTTTTGCTGCTCAGAGGAAGCTGTTGTGAATAACAAATGAAAACCCACAAACATCTAAAGCAGCCCCTGGATCTCCTGTGAGACCTGGGAGAGGGGATTAGGAGGTTTTGTTGCTTTCCGTGTTTCAAACATATCCTGTACATAGATAGCTTCAGGTAAGAGGCAAAGTCAGCGCTTCTGTTTGAACTAAAGGCAGGAAACCGAGGGGCCTTAGTCCGTAGTGGAATTAGTCTCTTATCTTTGTCCAACCAAAGCAGTAACTCCCTTTTGCAAGAAATTGAAGTTTTAATTTCAGCCTGGTTTTCTATTGGACTAGTGAAACTACATGTACTCTTCTACGTGGTGCAAAGCTATTGATTACTAGGCTTTAAGTATCTGCAATTTTGACACCATCTGAAGTTTGTTTCTTCAATTACTCAGATTTTTAATGCAATCACAAATCTGATTCTAAAGGATAATGTCTGCTTTGGAAGGAACAGAGAGTGGGTAGTGAAATAGGTTGAAGAGGACAAAAATAAGAAGGGACATTTTCCAAGAAATGGAAGGTCTACAAATATTTTTTGACAGAAGAATAAGGACATCTCTGCTCCGAATAAAAAAACCAGATTATCACAGCAAGGTAATGGCCTCTCCAGAGGACACTCAAGTCATGTAGGATGAGTTCCTGATTTTGTATTATTCTGACAGGCAATCAAAAGAAGCAAACAGTTGAGTAGGAAGGGGTCTTAAGATGAAGTTTCAATAGCCAGCACCATCCTCCTTACTTGTTCAAGACTGTGCAGGGAACGGAGCTCACAAAGCCTACACAAAGGGTACAAGGCAGCTCCCAGCTGCCGCTAAGAGCGCTCAGCAGTCAGCTGTACCTTGCCAAGGTACCTCACACAGCAAGCAGCAGCCAGGAAGAACAAGGGCTTGCGCACACTCAGAGCTCCAAGCACCCCGAGAGGCAGTTGCTTCCCTTTTTGCTTGTGTGCTGTCACTTTTACCTTCTCCAGATTCCATTCCCCAGCCTCTGACTAGGGGCGGGGGGGGAAAAGCCACAACCCACAGAACAACACGGACAAGAGTTTAGATTGTGCTTCTTCCATCTGAAACCAAGATCCTTGAAGATCACATGCATGGATAAAGTCTCACTGTCTTACTCTCATCTAGGGCTCATTTTCAGCTGGATACCCAATAGCTGAGATATCTCCTACCACACATAAGTCCACATCGTTTCACTGGACAGGTCACTGTAGACCTGAAAAGGCTCGTGTCCTATATTCCAGAGCATAACTATACCTGGGGATCGATCCCTGCCCTTTGTTTTGTGTTTGCTTGATGTCAAGCACCTTTTATCTGACAGAAGTTTGAATCGGGGGAGACAGAGATCACAAACAATATTTGGTACAGCCTGGTTTATTAGTTAAGCTGTTATTATTAACAGGTAACTATTCACATAGTTCACTCACAACTACCTGATTAGCTGGGAGGGCAGTCCCAGCTGTTTACTCAGAGGCAAAGCATTATAGTGACATGATAGCAGTTTGCAGGTAGGTGTTCAGACAGTCCTTCAAGGGGTCCTTTTTCCACCAGGTCTATTCCTGTAGTGTCTACCTGCATCTAGCAGCCAGCATGCTCTTGAACATGGTCCAAGTTATACAACCTGTTGTTGATGCTACTGTATACCAGTGGCCTTGGACAGATTTGGCAGATGCTTGGTGTTCTGAATTTATCAGCTCTTAGAGATTCAACAGCATTGTTAGTCTCTGGAGCTTATCAGCTGCTGGGAGACTTTCACACACTACCTCAACACATATCGTTCTGTTCTTCAGCCTGTGGTTTTCTGGTAACTGTTTCTCCATCTACATTCATGGGTACCAACAAAACCCACTCACACAGAAGGGGGCTTCTTCATGAGTTCAGTAACAGAACTATAGCCCCAAATCTTTGTTACATTTTATTTCCACGTGGGTGATACACATTAGTTTCTCCAAGAAAAAAAACAGGTCTTTATAAATCATGTTTAAACTCATTTTACTCAGATGAGACATGCTGTGTCTCAGCTTTGAGAAAGATACAGCAAGGCATGCAGAAAGTACCGGCAAAGCTCCTTGAAAACAGTGGCCTCTTTTGTAAAGGCCAGCTAAAAGAAGTAAAAAAAAAATTAAAAATATTTAAATCTTCCAAATCCCATGAATGCAGATTACCTCCTAACCCATTCTGTGTGACTGACTGAACAGTTACCTTCTAAGCCAGGAAGCTATGACTATTGAAACCTTATCTAGCTGCATTCTGTTTTGAAGGGGGATCATTTGCTCCAACCATCTTTCTCCTGTTTTCCCATTTTCCGAAGCACTCTATCTACTCAGCCCACCCAATTACTCTACCTGTTGCTATCGTTGGTTTGTCCTTCCTTCCCACCCAATCTCTCTCTCCATCAGGAAATCTTGAGTTAGATCCCTCTTGAGGCATTCAAGCTGCCCTAGATCTTTTCTTTTCACAGCCACATACCACTTACCGTCCTTTCCTGATAGAGAGACACCCCCCTTCAGCCAGGAGGAGCCCAAGCAGCTGCTGAACATTACAGCAGAGATAAATTTAGTCCACAGTAGTGCTGCTTTTCAGGGAAAAAACATTTCTGTCTGTACTAGCTGGCTAACTCAAGCTGTACTTGTCCCAATCTAGTGCCCTCAACTCCTCTATTTTAGGGGCTTACACAACCTCACGCCATAAGGTGAGACCGTTTCCACTTCCTGAATCCTGTACGGTTCTGAAATAGTACATTTTGATAAAAGAGATTAAAACAAGAACAGGATGAGTTCTCCTCAGAAGAGTTCTGCCATTGGCTGTATAAGCTTACACAACCTGCCTCATACAACGCACACAGCACACTACTGACATGCAGGAGCTGAGAGCTCGGTGCTACCAACTGTCTCTCTGCTGAGCAGCCTTGCCCAGAGACGGGGGAAGCACCACCAGGGCAGCTAACCATTTCTCCCACCCCAACCTGCAGCTCTTGGGAAACCCAGCCCGTCTAGACAGACCCATCTGGGCAGCCAAGCCCCGGTCAGTGCCTGCTCTACACACAGAAGCTCTATCCTTGGGGATCACAGAGTGGCTTTTTCAATAATGACAGCTCTGAACTGGGCAATTCAAGTGCAGTCTGTGACACTGTCGGATCCTGCTGCGAGGTCACACAGCCCGTTCTCCATGCCTGGCCTTTTACCTAACCTTGCCCAAACATTTGAGAGTCACCACGCAAATTGTCGGTGACCCTGAGTTTTACGGGAAGGTCAAAAGCACACAAGCTCAGAGAACAACTGCATTCAGGCTTGCAAAGGGGTGCTCTCTGCCTCACCTTGCCTTTGTGTGTTTCCTGAAGCCACTGGCGAAGACGGATCAAGCAACTCTCTTGCATTGGAGTCAGCTGGCCCAGATATCTCTCAATGTAATCGGCATCCAATTTGTCAGCTGGAGGAATAAAAAGAACAATTCAGAGGAGACTTGGCATAGCCGGAAGGGAGACATGCAGTTATTTCTACACATCAGGTTACTTATGATTTATACTGGAAGAGTGCAGAAGCCCTCATTTTAGCTTCCTGAGGGAAGTGAGAGATATTCTCACGGTGATTAGGGCACGAGGACACAGGCAGCACATAAAGTATCAATGCTAGAGCACTTCTCCTGTCTCTTAGAATGCTAATATTTCATTCAGCCCTAAACTGCTCCAGCAGGAGCTTTAAAAGAAATATCACGAGCTCTGGCACTCATCTCATTAACCACTCCAAGACATGGGCACTTAAATCCCCTGGTGTCCTAAAGATCTCACGCACGATTCCAATGACGAGAAGCTAAAGAGCAGCTAGCTGAAAACTGAACTGTTATTCTGCTTACGGACACCAGAGAGAAAGGGAGAATAACACCACCGCTTCTGACAGCAAGGGAGATTTTTGGTGTGAGAAGTCCTGTGCATACCAGCACCTCAAGATCCCTCCAGATCAGAGACAAAGGCCAAGAGGTTTGAGACTGCCGGCATGCAGAGATAGAACAGATGTGCCACCCGAGGCCTGTGTGTGCTGATGGCAGCAAGGAGAACGTGGTACCCAGAGGGGAACAGCGCAGGCCAGTAGCTGTGCTGGGGGCATGCAGGTACACGGGAGGCAGTGCTGGGTGGACCACCTCTGAGCTAGCTCTTCATCAGGCAGGATTTTTTTTTTTCCCAGCAGATAACATTAACTACAGAATAAGGCCTGGACACCTACAGGATACACCGTTCCTGACTGATAATGCAGAAATTATATTTGCTAAGTGCTACATCCCCACTGAATCCACAGAGCTAACAAGTTGGGGAGCAGTCCCAGGGAAGCTAATCACTACCTAAACATGAATATAAGCAGAAGAGTTACTCTCCTCTTCTACTTGATGGGATCTGCCACTTACAGTAACTTCAATCTCAAAGCACATGAACATTTCTTATAGTTAGCTCCTCTGGCAATTTTGATCCTTTTTCCAGGTGGATTCCAATAAAGAGAAGCTACCAGAGAAGGCCTGGTGAGACCAGAATCACTGAGAGTTCCAAATTCCAAGCTTTTTACCTAGTTACACTCAGCAAAACAAGTGCTGTCTGAGGAATGACAACTCCTGTTTCTAATGCCACAGCTCTAAATTAAAAGGCCCCTCCTATTTCTTTTTGTCAGAGAAGAGTTTTATTTAGTCTAGAAGATATCATCATATCAACACACAGAAAGATAAGTCCAGTTCAGGCATTTTGTGTGAGAAATGCATTAGGCGGCATTCTGCCAGTTTGCCTTGGCCTGATAAAGGGGCAAAAAACATCCAAAACAACCCCCAAGATCATTAATTTTGAAAGAGCCAAAATATTTCATTATGATTCAATTATAGCATGCTCAAGATACTTTTAAGTTTTTACAATTTAAGGTATAAAATGCCTTGAATATCAGATCAAACCCAAGTTTTTTTCTAAACTGAAACAAAAACATACTGCCTGCACAATTTTTCTTGGCTTTTCAGTTTTGGGGAAAAAAGTTCCATTGTTTGTGCTTTTCTTGAAGAAAGAAAATAACTTTCCCTCTTCCCCACCCACAGTCCAGAAGAAAAACCTCATGCCAAAAAAATAAAAATAAACTCATTAGTCAGTGCTACTCAAGGCATTTAGATTGCCAGCAGCTGCTACTGCCTGGACATTGCATACCATCAGGGCTGACAGCTTCTGCTGGAGGGCAGGAGCTGCCAGTTTGCTCTTTGGTCGTTCCAGGGGCCCCCGACTCAAGGGGTAAGTCATCAGCTCCGTGTCCAACGGCGGGGGTTCGCTCATCCTTCTGGCCACACACCGGAGGTGGTGTCCAGCGGGGGATGAATGTGATCCCTTGGGAGATCAACTCCTTCAGATAGTGCTCAATCACTTCCTTGCCCTGAAGGGGAAAACTCTCATTAGGAAAAAAACAATCCCATCTCCCCAGAACCAGCAAGGTGCAGAAGAGTTTTCCTCAGGACAGATGACTAATGCTGTTAGAGATAAACAAAAGGGAAATAGTTGTCTCCTGCCATCTGCATGACCCTGTTGGAAACATTTCAGTATGAAAGCACCATACAAATGGTGAATTACAACACTGGCCAAGCAAATTCCACTGCTACCTTTGTGACACTTTTATCCTGTTCTGCTCCCAAACCATCAATTAGCTGCCCTGTTCCTCTGCAGCCCAGGGGAAAAGGCCACCAAAAGGAAGTGCCTCTGCTTAAGCTACTGGAGAGAGAGGGTGCTGCTTTTTACCCAGAACTTTCTCTTCCTGCATGAGAACAGTGTCCTCAGTGTCTGAGGAGCCTGGCACCCACAGCATCCACTGCGCTCCTCCTCTGGCACAGCCTGCTCCCTCCCCTGCACAGACACATCCCAGTGAGCAGATTGTTCTTTTGCTCATTGCACACTGGCTTTTTCTTCATTTGCCCTACTGAGTGATTTCAGAGACATAAGCAAGGGTATAAAACTATACTGGGTCTATTTTACAGAATAGAAAATAGAGGCACGCTGAGAGCAGACATTTGATTTTGGTTTTTATGGCACAAAGGGAAGGTCATCTTACCCGCTTGATATTTGAAGTGTACTGCTTCATGGCAATTTTTTCCACTGTGCTTTCAAAGCCAAAGAATGACTTGATGTCGAGAGATGCAGACTGTTCAAAGCAAGTCCACTCTTCGTTCTCAGGGTGAACCTAAGCCCAAAGATACACATAGGGTTAGATGGTAGCAGATAACTCACAATATAGCAGGGCCTTGCCCCCGATACCAAAATGACTATTTAAACTCCAGAGTTACAGAGTGAGGGGGCAGAAGAGGCTTCCTACGACTCACCAGACTGACCCATATTTAACAGTCAGATTAATTCTCCCAGAGTCATAGAAACACATCATGAACTGAACGTACGGACATTTGTGGTTAACCCAGCATTCTTCACATGCACAAGGAAATCAAGATTAAAAACTTATCTCTGCCCCAGCAGACCTGAATGGCAATATTCATAGCAAACATTGCACTAAAATAGTAGTGAGAATGATCACTTGAAACCATCATGTCAAAATCTCCTTACAGAAAGGTAGGGACGGCCTCTCAGAACATGCAGTTAAAAACCCCTACATCTGCAAAGGAAGAAAAATGGAAAACAGGTTTTTTTTCGAGTTTTGGATAGGAAGCTCAGCCACTAATGTCAGTCTTCCCTCCAAAAATACAGGAGACGTGGCAGAGTGGGGAGTTTTCCTACTGTCAGTTCAATATACACCTTTCCTTTCCAGCCATTTCCCTTCAATTACTCTATGTATGGTAAAAACCTACATAATCTTTTCTTCTTTTAAACTTAACCCTCTGCCTTTTCTCTGTAGGTGCTGCTGTTCACAAGCTGACATGAAAGAAAAAAATTCCAGCCCACACACAAAGATACGAGCTCTATAAAGGACACACATTCCCCCAGGGGAGATATTAAGTAACTGCAAGAGCAGGACCGTATTTCTCCAAGCTGCTTCAGAGAACACTGCAGAATAGGAAAGATGAGAATAAACCTGTTTCCGGTGCACTGTGGCAGGGAAAAGGAAACTGGTAAAAATAGAGCAGGGAACCATCTTGAGGATGCAGACAGCTAGCTCCCACCCTGCTCCAGGAAGAGCGCTCCCCTCAAAGCCCAGCTGCTGACGCTTCCTTCCGAAGGAAACACTGCCAAAATCAGCAAGTGCAACCATGTCTGAGTGATTCCCGAGCTGACCTGGGAGTGTTTCAGAACTGTCAGCACCTTTCACAATGACAGAAGTTTGATTCATTGGAGTTTTCGGGAAGCCCCATGTAGCCACCAAGTGATCTCTGGCTCAGGAAAGCCCCTCACCATCCAAACTGTTAATAGCTTTTCAACTCTTTGTCTTGCTTGAAACAGAAGCTACGTTCTTTGCTTACTCCCAAGAAGCTGAGCTGCTGTCTACTTGCCCAAAAGGCAGGTAGGTAACAGGATCCAGACTGTTGTTTAGGGAACAAAAAGCAGTATCTGATTGCTTCCAGAAGCAGGTGAAGCTATTTAATGGTGACTGAGCCCTAATTGCACAATTACAACAAAATGGCACACTGTTGCTGAAGGTACAGCCACCAAGTGAGATACCCCAGGCCACAAGTAAGGCTCAAGATTTTTCTCCAAATATTTAGAGCATGAATATCATGACAAGGTGCTACACTTTCACTTATTTGTGGGCAAAATTAATTGCCAGACTTCCCTCTGGCCCTCATCATAATAAATATTAAGGATTTCCTTCTAAATATCCAGATCTAAATACTTGTCTAAGCTTCAGATGTTTTTATTAACTTGAATTTTATCCAGAAGGAAACTCAGGGAGAACCAGCAGCTGTGGAGCACCATCCATGTTTTCTAATCTCACCCTAGGTCCTAACACTCAAATCAGAAACCACAAATCAACCTAAAAAACTTTCTCAAGCCATATGAAAGCACTGGAAAAGGCCCGCACCCTAAGACTCAACAGCCTTTCCAGTCCAACAGTATCTAATCAGAGTATGCTACAGTCCAGCATTCAAATTCACTCAAGCAACATCACCCTGTATATTAGTGCATGACTTTCAACACTTACTTCACAGACAAATAGAAACAAAGCACTTACTGAGTAGCTACATGTTTCAAGGACGACAACACGGTTGGCAAAAGTCTCATTGTGGGCTTCAATGCGGAGAGTTCGCTCTTTCCAGTTCACTGTGTTTTTCTGGATGAAGAAAACATACTCTACCCCTGCAATCTGAGAAGGATGAAGAACCAGGAGGGGGAGAAAAAGAAAAAAAGGGAGAGAGAAGGAGTAACTTTAGGAGCCTGTATCTATCTGAACCAGACAACAAAACTCAGGACTCTGTCCCCTAGGTTGCACTTGCCTTCTTTAGCAGCCTAGGAGCATCCACATTCAGTTTGCAGCTTCGTTCAATGATATGTATAGCTCCGTCGTCACTCCTGGATTCATGCAGGATTTCACTCCCCAGGAAAACTGGGATCTCTGGACATGTAGGAAAGCGCTTCTCATATGCCTGGAAGTGAAAACAAAGCAAGTTTCAGATTCTGGCTAGATCAACTTTATCTCTTTCTGAATTAATTGATTCCCTTACAATAGAAGTCCAACAAAAAGGAGGCCCTTCACCTCTGAGAAAAGGGGAACCAATGCAGGGGGTGAAGCTAAAGCAAAATAGTTATGAACAGAGACAGCATCCACTCCTATCAGTCATCATGTTAAGCATGTCTCAAGATAACTTTTCTTTCACACATGAAGTAGAAACAAAAGCCTATTAAAGAGTACTAGGAAGGGACTCAGAACTCAAATGTCAGGAAACTAATCTTTAGCTAGCAAAAGCAAGCATAGCTCCGCTGATTTCTGCTAGCTAAAGACTTGACCTAGAGATAATAAAATTCAAGTCAGACATATTGCCCGTATGAAGAAGCTGTTTAAAAACTTTCAGCACTCATGCCTTAAAATTTGATGTGCTAAACAGTTCTAGTTGCGCTAGTCTATCAAGGGTAAGACCACCAATTATTGACTACTCACTTTGCCTTGATTTATCCATTTCTAAAACAATTCTGTCCTGGTTCTGAAGTCTTTCTTGTTTTAATTAACTCCATCTTTCTGAAAAGGTTTTTATCCAAAGCTTCTCAGCTCTAGCAAAAATCCAGCTTTCTGTGGCACCTGCAGCAAACAAAGTTACCTTGCATAAACAGTGCCTTCTGTTACTCCTCTTTCCCTAACATCTCCATCTCTCATTATACTTCAAGATCTTTGCAGAATGGAAAGTTTTCCTTTGATTTCAGAAAAATATCTTGCAGGTTGTGATGTAAATATGGAATTGAAGAAACACTAGCACAAGCTGCACAGGAAACCCAGTATTCAACTTCAGCTGTGGCAGGAGGAGAACCCATGCTCTCTTTCCATTGCACTCTGAGAGCTACATCATTTTGGTCAAAATTTTTTTGCTATTATTCCACAGCCAAGCCTAATCTCTGTGAACTGCTGTCATCTTCCCATCTTCCGTAAGACAAAACTAATAAAGACAGCACATAATTTTCTCAGGAGCATTTATATTTATCTACCACAAAAGAAAAAACTAACATGCTAATGATTGAGATCAGCTCAGTTGTCAGCACACGCACAGTGCCATGTACACGCTCAGGGTTGCTGCATTCTCCGTTACCACAGCAGTTCATATGCTGGTTGCCCTGTATATATTCATGTACCCTGGTGCTGTGAATAATATCTGCTCTTAAAATAGCTCAGGCACTTAAGGACACATTCCATATCTCCTGCTCCTAGACCTCTGAGCAGAATAGGAGTTATTTCAGATCATCATATTGCTCCAGTATCAGGAGGAAAGTGAAAGCAGACTATCAGCTGGAGTTCTGGCCACAAACAAAGTGCACAGGTCTCTAAATCATCTTCTCCAAGTCACTGAGTAATGTTCTGCTGGCTTTGCCACATTTATTGGAGAACTTTTCCCGTATCTGTGAGGCCTCTACCTGTGCTTTTCACCCCTGATCACAAGAAAAACTAAAATGGTTTAGATAAGTATAAAACTCCCCATGGCAAATGAACATTTCCAACACCAATCCATCTAGCTCCATACAACAAAAGCACACTAATTGCTTTAAGAAGCTTAATTTGTTATGATGGGAATTCACAGATGTACTTCAGGCACTGCTGCAGGATGCTTCCAGCTACCCACTCCTGGCACACTGCACTTTACTCGTGGTCACAGAGCATAAGGGCTGCATCCCTTATTACCTGCTCTCTGCTATCGGCAGCTGCCAGCACATTAATCTTCTCAGGCAAAGTTAACAAAGTTAATACTTCCTACTTGTACCTGCCCTCTCCCAATCCTCCAGACTCCAAACCATTATCCAGTGCTATCTCGAGGTCAAAGTCTTTATTTTGCTAATCTGTTCTATTCTAGCACTTACAAGCAAGAGTCTCTCCATGCCACCCACACCACCCATTCTTAGTTACTAGAGTCTCAGCGCTCAGATAGTGAAAGTTGTGAACACCTTGGTAGGCCACTGGAATACCAGAATATTTAGCAACTATTTTTCAACTGTTTGTCCCATGCCATTCCTTACACATGCCCTTAATACACTTGCAAAAAGTGTAACTGAAAACACTACCCTAAAAGAAGGCTGCCCCAGTTAATCCCGTGACTTTGAAAAACAGCAGCTAGTGCAGAGGCGAAACAACACCTTGAGTGCCAGAAGATCATGTGAGAATGGTACTAGGATTGTCAGCGCGTCACAAGTCCGCCTAAACACCCATAAAATCCCACACCTCTGTTCCTGCAAGGAGTGCCAGGCCCTCCTCACCCTCAGCTACATGACACCATACCCGCTGCTGCCTGAGCTCAGGCATGCTCCCCACCACCCCAGCGCTGGGCAAGCGGGTGACATGCTGTGTTCCAGGGCTCCACACTCAGGGAGCAAGGACTAACTGTAGGAAGCAAAGGCTGAGCCAACACTATCTATTTCTCTGGGTCAGGATGAGGGCTAGCTGAGGGTTTCATGCCCCAAGTACTCATGATTTCCCTCAAATTTGAGAGGTGCAAAGCAGCTGGACTGGAAGAAAGTGCCAAGTAGGGTGACCTCAGCTTCTCATCCTCTACTCTTTCAGGGGTGCAGCTGTGCCAGGAAGATTTTCCTAAGAAAAAAAGCTGTTCCACTAGGACAGTGAATGAACAAAGCACAGATACCCTCCAAAGCTCTCCAACAGCTTCAGCAGGTGTACTGAGCTGTAAGTGCCTCCTCAGCACTGAAAGAGCACAGTGGCCAATCTGGAGCCCCACACGCCACCACTGAATCCAGGTACCTCTGTCTCCGATTTGAAAACAAAACAAAGTCACTGTACCTCAACATAGCTGCTTCTTTCTCCAAGTATGCACTTGACCCAGCTGGAGACAGGCTTCCTAATAAACCATCGTTAAATCTAGCAAAACCAAGACCAGGACAACTATTAACAGAGTGCAGTCACTATTTCAGACAGCTAAACAACATCTGGAGAATTAAGAAATGTCAGGGCAGAGAGGCACGTGTCTATGCAGACCCCTGCTGATATAACTAAGATAGCAGCCCGAACCCATCCCCTTAATAGGTGGAACGTTTCCGTATTTGAGAAAATATTGTTGTGCAAAAGGGATTCGAAGTCCTTCACTAATCTTCTTTGCACAACAACTCTAAAAATACAGCAGCCAAAGATGCCTGAGATCATATGAAGGACAGCTGAAACACCACACTGCAGTCACAATAAAGTTGTACTGTTAACACGCCTGAGCTTTTATCACTGAAGAGACTACGCTATCAGAAGAGCAACCCATCTTTTGTACCCAGCATCCTCCTATCAAAATCAGCATCTATACACAACAGTACATTTCTGCTCCAACAGAGAAATTGAGGGAAGCTATAAAGATGGGGAATCCATTGCCAGAACTATCTGTTATTTTCTCCTCTATGATTGCAGAGTGCAAGATGAACAGAGTATCCCAATCAAATGAAAGGCACAGAGTACTTAATATTAGCTTGTTTGAATACTTCAGCTGCTAATCTGCCTGCATTTGCTCTTTTGTCTCCTTGCTGCAGTAACTCTGCACTGACTAGTATATAGAAACTACAATTTGTCTCTGCCTTCTCTGCCCCTCGTTCTCCAGAAGGAATATCAGCAGTATTGTGCCAATACTGTCTCTAAAGTGCACATCCACAATATTGCTTTAAGACAACCACCTTGATGACCAGAGTCTTGAACTGGTTCAAATATATATATATATATATATAAAATGAATGGCTCCATGAAGCTACTCCCTCCCTTCTTCTAAACCCCACCAGCATTAACATCAACAGGCAGAACCAGCTAACGCTTCGCACATCTGCAAGTCCTCCAGCCCAAGCAAGCCAGAACATCACTCCGAATCCCGGCGGGGGCTCCCTCTCTAGCGTAATCAGTCTCTAGTATTGACTTCATACCAGAGCAGACTGAAGAAAAACCCCAAGCAGTTGCACAGCTGCAGGAGCTGTCTAGGCAAACCAGAGCACTGCATGCACCTGATTTACCAAGCAAACTCTCCCAACACAGTTTATAATAATTGTTTTCTTAAACGTTCAGATTTATGTCCTCTCTTCATATCCAAAACAACCATTTCACAAGAGATGATGGCTCAGGCCCACCCTAAATCAAGCCGTTATTCCCTAGATTTCCTGCAAAAACCAGTGCAATGTTGGGGTTTTTTGTAGCAAACTGTATATATAAACATGGCCAACATACCAGTGTCATTTAAATCTTTGCAGTCATCTCCCTCAGGCTGAAATTACACATCAAATTTCACACGAGGGCTGGGTAACAATAGAGGGATTTGGAATTTGTTTGAACTCTCCAAGATACTTTGCTTGGAAAGATAACCAATTGTTTTTGAATGCATCTAAAGTGTTAAAAATAATAATAATTTGGATACAGTTATCAGCCTGTTGGACTTAAAAAATTCAAAACAGTAGAAAATAAATGAAAACATTTACAAGCGAAACAATTTCTAGCTAAAAAAAAAAAAAGTTAAAATACGCAGGAAAAGTCATAACATACTCAAAGTTTCAGTAGTATCAGATCTTCCTTTCACGCTGAAAGACAAGGAAAATTGCACAAAGCTGGAGCACATGTGTCTGTGTGAACATGTCGCTGGCACGACCTGCCCCGCTATCCCCAAAGCGCCTCAGCAAACGTGCTGCAGGAACACGCGTGGCCAAGCAGCCGCAGGGTCTGCCACGGCACGGGGTGCTGGCGAGGGGGGCTCTCCAGCCTTGCCACATAAACTCAGATTAGCGGCAGCACAGAGGAGACTATTTCAAACTGCTTCCACAGTGAGCTCTGCGTCCCAGCCCAAGACCCCTTAGCACCGCAGAAGCTGACAAATGATGAATCACAACAAGCAACGATTAATCAACAGTGATATGGCTGACTATGAAATTAGTAGAGCGCTTTGGCCAGGGTTTTTGCCCTGTAATCTCCTGGGGGATGTGT